TGATTAAATGAAAATCTAGAGATTTTATTATTATTTTTTTTGTACGGGATCTAATTTTCCCGGTTGCTCATGACTTGGTTTAAACATGTAGCATGATTTTATATTGCCCCTTGATATGCTCATTGTCGTGTATTAAAATTGGAACATTTGAATAAGTATTAAAGATTTTATTTAATATTTATCTTAGGTGAATGATTAATTCACATGGCCTTAAATAGCTTGAAATCAATATGTGTTAGCAAATTAAATTAGGCCTTAGCATGCTCTCCAACATAGTTGAATTTGAAAGTGATTGGAGGTGTTTTGAAAATTAGTAATTATTAATTAATTTGATTAATTAATTTGCCCCGAGTGCACTATTCACTCTATTTAAATTCTGACTTGATATTCTTGACTTACATGCCACATAGCTTCACATATATTTGATTTAGAATATTCGGTTTGGTTTTCAAACCCTTCATTTAATTAAATTCCTTGTTTAAGATTTAATCCTCATGGTGATATGCAACTTGGAATTGAATTGTGGCATACTTGAAAATTAAGCTTAGGTATAATTGTTTATATATATTAAATTGGAATTAATTACATGAGAATTGCAACTTTTAATTTATATTTAACTTTAGTGAAAGGTTAAGTCACATGGTCTTAAATTGAATGAAATACACATGTAATGTGATATTACATTAGTTCTTGGCATATTCTTTAAGATATGTTAAATTGAGAGCATTTGGTTAAGTTTGAAAATCTAGAGATTTTAATTAAAAAGAATTTATTAAAATCCATTTTGCGGTCCCATTAGCTTAATTAAGGTTTTAACTTGATATTTGTATTGGACATGACTTGTTTACTAGTATATATTAATTTGGGACTATCTAAAGTTGTTTTAGAACCTTGGGATTTAAATTAACATGATTTAATTAAAGTTCTACTTTGTTGTTCTAACAACCTAATTGAGTTTTAGAATGGATATAGGTGATGACCTTGCCATGTCCTTTAACATGTATTAAATTGAGGTTAATTGAAATTGTATCGGAAATCTAAAGAATTTAATTATGTTTATCTATTTAAATTCTATCAATTTACTCCATGATCTAGTTGTGTTTTAGAAGTGGTTTCTATATTCAAATCATGGACTTAGACTTGTTGTATATTCATTTAGTTATGTTTTGAATATTGGATAACATAGTTGTTATGTTTATATTCGTGATAATATGTTTTCCTTATTGAATATATTGTTGCCTTGTGTAATGATTTGCACACTTCGTGTTTAACATCTTTCATGCATAGCGTGTAATGAATCGCACACTGAAGATTTGACATTCATCATATCATATTAGTTGTGGATTTAGAGCATGTATTGTATAGGTTTCCAAATTTGGTTGTGCTTAGTAGATAGTTGATTATCTTGCATATTCCTGTTAATATATGCATTGTTGCACAACTTGTTGATTTTGGAAACTTGGGGATGTCGTTGTTTGACTATGGCTAGGACGTGGTTCTAGTACGAGGGATAGTCCCTCTATATAGTCTAGTGCGCACATAAGGAGGTTACCCATGGGCTAGTAACCCTAAAGTAACTATGTTGTCGGTCTGATCCGACATGACGTCCGAGTATCCACTTTGTTTGACTTCGCATTTCATTTTTAAGTTGATAACTAGATGTTGTTGTAACTTGTTGTTCTTTATTTGTCATTCCATTTTAAGTTACACGATGTTAACTTTACGAAATTGTGTTTTATACGTTGTACTGGAAGTTCCAATATTGGTTAAATTGCATCGATATTGAAAATTGTGTTTTGACGTTCTAACAAAGCCTAGGATTGATCCTTTTAATTCATTTTGAAGTTAGACGTTAGGTGGCATGCACCACTGCTGTTATTTTGTGCTTTAGATTCTAAGTTGATGGCTTTGAAAACTTATACCCTATTGCATTGTATAACATGCCCTTTTGTTGTTGAATTGCATGGATAATGTGATTCTTGTTAACTTGTATTCAAATATACTTTTGTCATGTTATATGGATTACTCTAGACCTAGTTCAATTGTACTGAAAATGCAATTCATGTTAATCTTTGCTCAAGCATTCTTCTTGTCGTGTTCTTTAGATTATCCCAACCATGATTAGTTTCATACACGTATATATATCATGATTCTTGTTGCTTAGACTCTAAGGTAGCTTAGGATGTTTCCCGAGTCTCACTTGGACATAGACGTTAGGTGGCATGAACCCCTTTAACATGCTTCATCTTAAGGTGATAACGTTGTAAAATGCTAAGTCGATGCATGCTCATCTCCTATGAGCAGCTTTATGTTACTCACCCCTACGATACTGGGGCATATTTCAGGTACGAAGACTTGGTTCGTGAAGCCTAGCATTCCTTGGATGTCGTGTAGCTTTCAAGTTTCCATTTCATGCAAATGTTAGCATGAAATGTCATTTTGTAGACTTATATGTCAAAATATGTATATTTGATTCCATGTATGTAATGTGTACATAAGTGCACTCCTTTCAATGTATTTGACATGTATGAGATGAGGCCAGAGGCCAATGACATGTGTATTGTATTCTATACAACTTTTTAACTTCATAAAATATTATGAAAACCTTGAAAAATCGCAAGTCATTGCTTCACCATGGTTGCATCGGGTGTGGGAATTCTTTTTTCATTCTTTCATAAGGTCTTATAAATCATGTTTGAAGTGTGGCCATGGGCCAAACGGTCATTTGATCCCGTTTTGTATTTTTGGATTCCGAGTTTTCATTCCAAGTTTCATTTTTGCCTTTTTGCCCGTTGGGGGGTCGAATTCTATATCGGTGGTATTTTTAAGTCGTGGACCATTGTAGCACGTCCAAATAGGTAAGTTATGTTTGCGTGCATGGTCGTTTCTGGGCAAAACCTTATCGTTTGTGTTTTGAGCCTCTTGTGAATTCATTTCACACTTTTTTTGCATATTCTGATCTAGGGGCATTGTAGACTTTTCATGGTGGTTTTATTTTCTTCTTTCAACATGGTTGAATAGAAAATATGATTTTAGAGGGGGTTTCTTTTCCGTATTTGTCCAGAAAATGTCATCTTTATGCTGGAAATCGATCGCAAAGTTCAGCTTTTTGTTTTTTTTTAGCAGCTTTTTGGACCTCCATGACCATATTTCATGGAAGGGCATTTCAGGTATTCTACATTACGTTTTTTTTAATTCTCTCGCTAGTCACATAGAAAATTCAATTTTGAGGGGGGTTTCTTCTTTGTGTTTTTCCAGAAAAATTCATATACTAGCCCGTTTTTACTCTCTGTTCTGGCTATTTCTGGAAAAAAAAAATGCTTGTAGCAGCTTTTTGGGTCCATTTTGACTTAGGCTGTTCAAGGGGCATTTTAGGGACTTTACATCGTATTTTTTTTGGTTTCTTCTACATATTCGGGTAGAAAATGTGATTTTAAGGAGAGTTTCTTCTTCGTGTTTTTCCAGAAAAACTCGTTTAAGGGTTTGTTTTTAGCCTCGGTTCTGGAAAAAAAATTTAATTGGTGCTTGCTGTTAAAACACTATTCCTGCCCAGATTTCTTTCCCGGAAAATAAGTCTAATTTTTTAAAACTTTGAGGCTTCATATCTTCTTTGTCCTGACTCCAAATCAAGTGATTTTTGAGTCTAAGTTTATTAGTTTTTGCGTGTCTATTCAACGGTATTCACGGTTGCATCTAATTCTATCTAAAAAGACTATTTTACCCTTTGTAAAGTACCCTTGCCATACTGATTTTAAACTCAAAGGTTAGTTTTTTTGAAACTTTGACGTTTCATGTCTTCTTCATCCGAACTCCGAATCAAGTGATTCTTGAGTCTAGATTCATTAATTTTTCCTAATATATCTATCGGTATGCTCAGTTGCATCCAATTTTGTCTTAAAAGGCCATTTTACCCCTTGTCAATTACCCTTGCCGCACTGTTTTGAAACCCGAAAGTTGGTTTTTATAAAACTTTGGAGTTTCATATCTTCTTCATCCGGAGTCTGAATCAGGTGATTCTTGAGTCTAGATTTGTTAATTTTTCGTTGTCTTTCCAGCGGTGTGCTCGGTGGCACCCGAATCCATATTTTTTAAAAATGACTATTTTGCCCCTAGGGGCTTATTTGTCATATTTTTGACCTTTTGCTTCCGCATCAGTTCTCATTGAGATCCACGACCTCATGGAAGATCACTTTGATTTCGTAGAGTCTTGTTTTCTGTGTTCGCTTTCGCTTATAGGATCCGTTATCAGGTCAACCTTCGATTCATCACAGGACATGCTGGCCTAAAAACCAGGGTTGTCACAAATATATACGCCCATCCTTCCCAACTCGTTCAAATGAGATCTCTAGAAACTCTTTAACTCCATGCAAGTATGCTGAACTTAACCTATTTGCATAGTAATGCATATAAAAAATCAAATTTCTTAAATTGTTGTTATTAGAATAAGTAACCTAATCAAACTACAGTCTGAAGTACCTTGACTGAGTTATCCAACTTCTATCCATGATATTACATCAAGTAACCTAAATAAAATATATGCACAAGAAATATATTATTGGTAAACATGATAACAATTTAGTAAAGGTATTTGAAAAGTATAAAAAAGTAACATGTATAAAAAAAAATCATGACTACTCCATTAAAACAAAATTCTCAACAAAATGTAGCTAGGGTTCCTAAGAATGATCGTAAATTTTTAGTAAAATATCATTATGCAAGATGGGTCCATTGTGTACAGCAAGAAAGTAACAGGTAATAGTTCAAATCTCCAAAAGTTCCACATAAACATAAATAAATTATTTGAATTAATCAAAATAAAAACATATTACAACATGATTATTTGTAAGAGCTGACAATTCAACAAGGTGATATACCAAAGTTGATTTACCTATCATGCAACAAGTAGAATATATATATTGATGAACTCATGAAACTCATAAGGAATAATTTTAAATGAATAGATAAAAAAATTAAAAAGTGGGAAAAGCAATCATCAATACCTTCAAAGAATATTAGCTAATCAAATGTGAGTTATCCCCTTCTTGATTGCTAATGTGAAGGAAACCGAGACAAAGGTTGAATTATAGTGGTCACACTGTCAGCAATAGCAAGAACATAGCAAGCTCAGTGTCTTGTAGCATGCAAAAACATAATTTTTTGTTCAAGTAGAAGGCAAACAAGAGAACAAAATTGTATTTGACAAAAAAAGAAACCGAATATTATATGAAAACACTAATCTGACCAAGATTCAACTCTCGGGGTTTTAGAATCAACAAGATGTAAAACATAAAGACTTGGTCAAGATTTCTCTCTAAGATATTATCCCTCAGGTTTCGTAGGACTTGTAAAGTTTTATTCTCAGATTATTGCGTGTTAGTGGGACCTGATTTTTCACCTCATTCTTCAAAAAATTTTTTTTTTTTTTATAAGTAAAATTCATTAAAGGCACTCAAAAGGGGAGCACTCCCAAGAGAACAAAAAGCCTCTACCAGCGACATTCTTCACAACTTTATTAATATTATTTGACTCAATTTCGGATCCTTTAGTAAATTTTTCTTCAAAGCTTCAGCCTTTTGAATCAAATCTTTGATTCTTCATTTTTTACAAAAAGATTTTTTGAGAATATATCTTTTCAAGAGCCATTTTTTAATGATAGAAAGAATACTTTCAGCAACCACTTCTTTTGTAACAAGACCAATGCCCATTGAAAAATCTTAAATCTTATTAGATTCAATCCTTGTTATCTCACTTATTAGATGACATCCACCATTCATGTCTAGAGCACATACATGATACATCCAGCATTCATGTCTAGAGCACATACATCATCGTGTATAAACTATATTACTCATTAATGCCAAGACTTTTATATTTAATTTCACCTTAAATAATTTCATCTTAGGATCGTATCTCTCATTAAGTTATATTATTTAAACCATTATTTAAGGTCCAAACTTTAAAATTGCCTTATTAGTGCTGCTCAATTTAAGAATTGTCAATTGAATTATTCTACATTAGTCTCCTTGGCCTTAGTTCCCTACAAACTATAAGTCGTGTAATTCTAAAAATTTATGGCAGTTACATTATCAAACCCCTCTCATTTACTTGTGTCAAAAGTTCATATATTTTGTATTACTAATTGATTAATACAAGTCTCTTTTTTCTATTTCTAATTTTCTTTAGGCTCATGTTCGGTTAGATGGAAATGGTTGGAGTCTGGAGAGAGGTTTTTTTTTTTTTTTTTTTCAACATTTTACAAGTTTGGAAGGCAAGAAAAGAGGGAAGTAATTTTCCTTAACTGCTTAACTTTTCCACAAATTCTTCCTCTAGAAAACATAAGAAAATTACCATTCAAAAAAAAAAAAAAAAAACATAAGAAAACTTACATTCTTGGAAACTGATATGAACCAACAGCTTGCCCATAAATTCTCTCTAAAATAAAATATTTTTATAAATCAATTTTGAAAGAAAGGTCTAATGGTTCATATCTCTCTCTAAATAAACTAAAAAAAATTTTATTTAGATTCTCCAATAATTTTTACTTTTTGAGATCAGATAAAAATATTTATTTGAGACAAGTTTATTTAAATATGTTTTCTTGTTCAACAAAAATGAGAAGAAAAAAAAGGTAAACAATAATATTTTCTTTCAAATTTTAAGATACCAAACTATTAAATCAAATTTCTAACAAAATTTTCATTCTAACCAAATACATGTTGAAAAAATAATTTTCCTTTATTCCACTTCAATTTCTATTAGTTCCACCTTGTAGTGGCTATTTCATTCTAACTAAACAGAGCCTTAAGATTGCAACTTCATTTATTTTATCTTTTACTTATTTATTTATTATCCTTATTATCTTTTTCCTAGAAACTTTTTAGTAGGATTTTATCTCAACGTTGAATAATGTACCCTTTTTTTTTCTTTTCAAAAAACGTAATGATACAAGCCCCTCTACAACGATCATCTACTCTCTCCTTTTTATACAATCTTTTTATAGGGAATTAATGAATTCACAATATATTGTAGGTTGAATGGAGTATGGGAAGTGAGTGTGACAATGTGAATGTGATTGGACAGATTGACAGGAAAACATGGTTTATACAAAGATCGTTAGTTTCTCTTATCTTTTTCTCAACACCAAAGGCTTCACAACACACTGGAGAGCTTTTCAATCCCACCCTAAAACGTTAATTCTCCTAGAGTGCCAAAGTGTTCCTTACTGTCAATGCAACAATATTAAGTCAAAAGAAAGCCAGGAAAGAATCCAACTTTTGCGAAGGCAGAATCCCCTTGTTCCTTCAGAAGGTAGACAGCAAATCTAACTAAACAAAACACTATCACTATTACCTGAATTCAATTGAATTTCATAATAAACATTACATATTATAATATGTTACAGGGTAAGAGTTGTCAAGGATGTATAAACCACATGAGAAACCAGAAGGCTTTTAATGGCAAACTATATTTATTAACAATGACACTACTAGAACAACTTTAAGGTGCCCTTTGGTAAAACTAAAAATTTCAAGCACTAAATTTTAAGAGTTGAATGTATTACTTTGAAAACCTATTTGATATTGTCTTAATTTTAACTTTTTAAGCATTGAATTCATTAAGATTGTAGAATACAAAAACTGAAATCTGGTTGTACCGATTAAATTTTTACCCTCAATATGCATATATGCAAAACAAAATATATTGTCTAAATATGGAGTAAGAAAATATAGATTCATTTTTCTAGACAAATGACATGTCAAAATATGTGTACAAATTATCTAAAAAGGAGAAAATACTGCATATTGTAATTCTAGATAATCAACTGCTACATGCAATAAATAAATTTTCTTTTTTCTACCAAGTGTTCTTGTTCTTCCATACAACTATTCACCTTCTATAAAATATCCTACTATCTTCAATTGTTACCTACCATCTAAATTCCATAATCCACCAAACATTCTACCCATCCTACCTAAATTCCAACAACAATGATACTATCCAGCTTTTATAAAATATCCTACCATCTTCAAGTGTTATCTACTATCTAAAGAGTTTCACTCTATCAACCAAAGACTCTAACCATCCCACAACAATGAAGAGCTGTCACACCCGCGTTTCCACCCATTTTGGACTAGAGCTCCCCTAAAGCTAGAAATGTATTTCCCCATGTGGAGGTGAGGTGTCGGAATCCATGGCGTAAAATCATGAACCTAATGCGAGGGTGGGAAAATTACTACGTATCAAGGTTTTTCCGACCCATTTAATAACCCATTGCTCTCTCTCTCTCTCTCTAGACAGCACTTCCTGAAGTTGGTTGAGCTCCTCAACCAAACACCCATTCCACGTCACATTTGAAATTAAACATACAGTTAGCCAAAAACTTAAAAAAAAAAAAAATTAAAACAACAATCTTAGGAAATTCTTAGGAATTTTTTTTTTCTTTGTTTCAAAAAGGATGTCTTTTTTAATAAACTTTTAACTCTTAAAGAAGAACGTTTCTTTTAGGAAATTCTTACTACATACTTCTTCTGTCCCAAAAAAAGATTACTCTTTTAGAAAACTGTACAGAAAAAGTATACAGTAAGAGAATTTTTAAGCCCCATATTTTTGTATCCTTAATTGTCTTAGAGGATCCAATTTCAATTCCCAACTAATCATATTGAGATTTGTTTGAATTTTAATTGATATTTATATACAGTATTATTTTAACCACCAAACATTAAAAAATAGTAATAATAATATTATTATTAATTTTAATTAACAACAAACTGTATATTATTTATATACAGTTTTCTCAATGTTGGAACACAAAAAAAAAAAAAAAAAGAAAGAAATTACCTGAAAAACGAAGTCAAACTAATCAACGACAAAAATTGTTCCAACAATCCAAGCTACAATCGATTATTTCCTCCTGTACAAAGAAAAAAAAAATTTGAAAACAACAATCTTAGGTACAGAATGAGATCAAATAGTGGTTGGAGAATCATTGAAATTGGGAGGATGCGTTGTCGCGTGAACTAAATTCCAAATCAAACCCACCTGATCTTGTTTACACTATGATTTTTCGATCAATTGTGATTAAACTGATTTTGTGCATATAAGTTATTTAGTTACACGGCATTTATAAACAACTTTTGTTTCATCAATAGAACTATAATTTTATGAGTACGGCCTCTTTTGAGATCTCCTTGCTATGGACAATGACCCCAACCTAAATAATGGTAAGTTTGGTTTTTTCATCATTTTGATATTGAGAAAATTATTACACTGGAACACTATGCAATGATCATAGTTGCGCTCCCAAATTCTCCGGTCGCTAAGATGTCAACAAATTTCATTCCTCATCAACTCGAAATTATGGTTTCATGATTCGTACTTAGAGAATTATACACACGGGAAAAGAAAATCAATGAAAATGGGGGAGAGTAATAATTTTCATTGTTTATCAAGTTAGAGTCAAAATAAATGCTTACCCTTGAAAGTTCATATAATACTTGATAAATAAAAAGAAGTGCCTTTAATCAATATTTGTTCTAGATTTTTATGAATTTTATTCATACGCAATGATATAAATATAAGAATTCTCATTCTATAAATTGACATGGTATAATAATACTCCATATTATAAAAATCTCAAATCAAACCCACCTGATCTTGTTTACTGCTTTGGCTGTTTCCGTATTCCCGGCTAGATGACGGCACTTCTTTCCCTATACACTCGAAGCCGAATTGCTTCAAAATCTACTTAGATGATGTCTGGAATATGAATGGTTGGGTTGGGAATAGGAAGACAGAGAGAGTGATGGTTTAAGCTTTCACTTGAAGAAGTTCGAATCGTTGATCGGTGATAGAAGGGCGCGACCGGTGATGGAAGGGCGAGACCGTAATGAGAGAGCTGTGATGGAAGGCGAGAGAAATACTGAGATGGAAGGCAAGAGAATGGCTTGATAAGAGAGTTGTGATAGAAGGAGCGACCGGTGATGGAAGGGCGAGACCGTAATGAGAGAGCTGTGATGGAAGGCGAGAGAACGGCTGAGAGAGCTGGGATGGAAGGCATGATGAGAGAGCTGTGATGGAAGGCGTGATGAGAGAGCTATGATGGAAGGCGCGACCGAGGATGGAAGGGCGAGACCGTGATGAGAAGGCGAGAGAACGGTTGATGGATTAGGGTTATTGCAAAATGCGATTAGGGTTATTGCAAAATGAAATGGGAAAGTGGAGAATACAATGTTAATTCCCCACAAAACGACGTAGATTTAGGGCCCAAATATTCTATATATAAATCAATGGAGGGAAAAAATGGAGGGAAGGGAAAAAAAATTGAGGGAAGTGGAAAAATGGGGACTGATCGACGGATCAATTTCAATTATAAATCAACCTTTTTATAATAGCACAAATCATTGTAAAATAGGGCTATTGGTCGGGTAAGTCGAACCATTGGGACTGCTAGTTTATGGCAACTTAGGTGTCTAGAGTCATTTTTAGAATGATAAAGGGGGTTATAGAGGATTTGTTGGATTGTCACTAAGATTATGAATTGAAAAGTGCATAAAACATTAATGCTAAGAAGTAAAGAGGCAAAGACAATTAAAAAGGGAACTAGGGAAGTGAATCCGCACTACCCTAAACACATGTTAGATCAAGACTAAATTGGGGATAGACAATATAAATGATGGTTAAGAATTATATAGCAACACATGGTTGCCCTATAATCATTGAGAAGTTCATCAAATCAAAACAAGAATGATCTATCAAAAGTTTATACATTCGAACTACCTAAACTAGGGTGTAGCATCAGACATACTCTCTTAAGCAAAAGATCATCAAGCCTTAAATCAAATGATAAAGCACATGAAGCTAGGAATCAAGTATAAACCATCAAAGGGGATACCTAAGCAATGGACTATCAAATTTCTCTATCAACATGCCATGAAAACCATTCATAATCTTATTTCCATTGTTACCATGAAAATGCAAACATTATAATTAATATAAGAAACCATCTAAGACAAGATAATTAACTTACAACAATCATTTATAAACATTAGAATTCATTACAAGAGGTAATATGCTCTAGATTATGAAAAGACCAAAAATTATACATCATTATCCCCAAAATAGAGCTTAATCTAGAACATGATTACAAGGGAAGGCATCATCACCTCCCTAGATGGAGGTTTAGTTACCCATTACTGCAAGGAATGAAGAGGAAGAAGCAAGTCCACCCTCCATCTTTGCACCTCTAGGAAGCTAGAACCCAAGACCTCAAGAACACCTCTCCTCCTCTCTAGAACTTAGCTAAAAATGTGAGATATCCAAAAATAATAAGCTTCCCCCCTATATACACTCAAAACCTACTCCCCATACTCAAAATCCCAAGCTCCCCCCTCTGCATGAAGCTAGACCACACAAAAGAAGGATAAGGGGACCAAAATGCTAAAATTTAGGGGTAGTTGAACTGCCTACTGCAGTTCCGCGGGCGCCCGCGAAGGCTTGGCTTCGCGAGGGTGGCACTGGTTTGTTTGGCGGGGCCCGCGAGGCACCCGCGGGGGCCTCTGCGGGGGCTCAGCAAGGCTCCGCGAAAGAAGGCAGAGAGTTGAGAGAATTGGCAGGCGCCCGCGAGAGCTTGCCACTGCAGCTTTAAATCAAGGCTTCTCATAAGCCTTTCCGAGCCGGAGCACTGACGCGGCTTCCACTATGAACACTAAGCCACGAACTTCACAAAAACGGTGACTAAAGAGGTTAGGTCCTGAAGATGACTCCCCGACATGGCGCACGTAATTCAACAGAAAGTTGTCAAAACCGCCTCTTTGATCATTCTTGGGAAAAATACCTAAAATCAGAAAAAAAAAAAAAAAAAAAAAAAAAAAAAAAAAAATACACAACTGAATTTGTTGCCCAAGTATTGACTCTAAAGGGGGGGTGAATAGAGTCAATGGCCAATTTTTGCAATTTATAAATATGATTACTAACTAGTCTCTTAAAATAAGTATGCAATAACCAAATGAACTAGATAATCAATTCAAAGCGTAAAAGTAAAAGAGATAGGGAAGAGAAATTGCAAACAATGACTCAGCGATTTTAGCGAGGTTCGGAAACTCCTACTCCTCAGCTCAAGACTCCTCTTGAGACTTCCCAATCCACTATGGCTTCTCCTTACAGGTGGAGAGCAAACCTTTACATGAAGCAAGACCTTACTTCTTTTCCTTGCTAAGAGAACAACCTTCTCTTAATCTTCCTTTGGGTCACACCAACCCTTACAATAGATAGTAGCAAGAACAATGAAGTATAATTGATCTCTCAAAGATAGTAGTACAATTTTCAGCTCACAACTAGAGTATTGATGAATATAAATGAAGCTCAAACTCTATGAATGAAATGAATGAGAGGAGATGATATAAGTGAAAAATGTAAGCTCTTATAATCTCTCAAGTGTATAATAGAGCAAAAACTCTATGAAGATTCACGCAAGAGCAAAAGCCCTTTGAGTGCTTAATTAAATCTCTCAAGATAGAATAATAGTGAATGAGAGAGATGAAGAGAAGATTTAAGAACAAAAGCTCTCTTTAATGCAATGTGAAGGCTTTCAAATGATGTCTCTTTTTTAGTAAGACTTTCCCCACTTTATTTATAGAGTTTGCAAGCTCAATATAGCTATTAGGAGTTAAATGCACAAAGGTCGAAGAAAATAGAGCCGTTGCATTTTGAATTCTGCAGATCCGACAGGAACTAGTCGACGTATGGAATAAACCAGTCGACGTCTGGCATAAACCGGTCGACGTATACTACAAACCGGTCGATGTATGGCATAAACCGGTCGACGTGAAAGTTATGTTCCTGAAATTTTAGTACTGCCTAGATACCGGTCGACGTATGGTTCAAACCGGTCGACGTATGCTTCATGAACCGGTCGACGTATGCATCAAACCAGTCGACGTTTTCTGGTGCATTGACACTTTTGACAGATGACAGGTTTATGCTTAGGACTTCAGTACAGGACATCTGCACACAACTTATTTCCATTAAAAACATTTAAGTAAATGTCTTTACAGTATTTATATGTCCATTTAAGTTTACAATGTAAATAAGGAAGTACCCCCCATTTGGATTCAATAAAAAATACTAAAAAATTGAAATCCAACTAAATGAAAATGTAGAAATTCAGTTTTAGTACAAATTTGGATTTTCGACAGTTTTAGTAAAAATGAATCCTTATGTAGACCAATGTAAACTTGGTCAAAAATTCTGATAAAATCAGTTTAGGCTAATTGAAGTATAAAGAGTTATTACCGGGAAAAATTATTTTGAAATAATCATTATTTCAAAAATCCATTTTTCACACTTAGCCAAAAACACAGTTTTTCATGACGCGCATTCTGGGGTCCTAATGTCCGTTACCAACTCATGCCTTAATTGTTGACCAATATGAATTTTATGATTGATGTGCATGGTCTTAGCATTTTTAGCACAAGTGATGAGTTCTTTCAAAGCTTATGCAAGCTTGAACTAACTCACTCTTTAGCAAAGACTCCATATGTCAATTGTATATGAATGAAGTGCATAGTCAATTGCTAATAGATATAGGAGTATATGAATGATGGTATGATATGCGTGGTCCTATAGAGATGAGCTTCAAATGGATTCATAAATACTTTGACATTGAATCCTAAACACTCACCATCCTATCTACCCTTTTCTTCAAGCTTTGTCCATGATCTTTAGGCTTTGAGGTAGTCTCGCTTTCTTCCTTCCTTTGAGTTACTTTCTTGCTCATTGTAGTCCAAGCTATATTTCTTTGCAACTTCAACTCTTCTTTATATCCATTTCTTTCCTTGATGTGATATTGACTAATGGAATATTTGGAATGGTCTTTATGATCTTCATTGAGGTTCTTCTTTGAATATAAGTCATCTATAACACTCAATATGAACATTAGTCCTTAAACACCATTAATGGTTTGTTATCATCAAAACAACTAGATTGTCATTGGATGAAATCCTTAAGGTCAATAGAATTAAAATTGTACATTATCCTCTAATAATGGACTTAACTAATACAAGAAAGGGCGTTTGAATATGTAATATTCGGCGCTTAGCACACCCTCAAACTTACATTTTGCTAGTCCCTTAGCAAAACAAGACAAAGAGCTCCATGCAAATGACGACCAATGAAATGCTAACACATGCATCAATCATGAAACAAAAATATTGACGAAGCTCAACTATGATTTGATACACAGAAAATTTTGAAGATAGACATTAGGCAGACTACCTTGCATATATAAAGCCTTAACACACAAAATGGCACAACAAGATCAACTTAAATGCATCAATCATCAAGGTCTATATAAACACTTCAATTGTCATCTCTTGAATAACATGAACTCTAACTTCAGTGAAAGTGAGCCGGCTTCCTAATATGTGGCTTTTACCCTCTTTTTTCAATCTCAAGAACACATTTTCACATCCTTAAATCTCCTTCTAAATGAGGTCTCCAAGGCATAACTTTATTAACTAAACAACTTTTGTTGCTTATTGACAATTTTATTGATCAACTCAAAAGATCACCTACTATGGTCGTGCAATGTCAAAAATTCATTAAGCTTTCTAACCAACCCATGCAGCAAGTGTTGGGCCAACAACTCCCAAGCCAGATGGCTTTAGGATGCTAAGTATAAAGACACTCCTAGGGCTTAATAACTCGAATTTTAA